TTCACACTTACGACTGCTGCAGCATCCCCAAGGGCAGAGGTAGGCAACCTTGGCTCATTTATGACTCATGGACTTCAACTCCCAGAATTCCTGAGCCATCCAGGCTGAGGGGAAAGGGAGAGATTTCCAAGCTGAGCCATGCTAGCTGAGGAATTCTGGGAGTTGAAGTCCACAAGTCATGAAGGGGCCAAAATTTCCCTCATGCTGGCTGAGGAATTCTGGGAGTTGAAGTCCACAAGTCATGAAGGAGTCATAGTTCCCCCATGCTGGCTCAGGAATTCTGGGAGTTGAAGCCCACAAGTCATGGAATAGAATAGAATAGAATAGAATAGAATAGAATAGAATAGAATAACAGAGCTGGAAGGGACATTGGAGGTCTTCTCAAGCAGGAAAACCTGTCTTATACCCTCTCAGACAATAGGTCGATAGATCGTTAGATCAATAGGTAGGTAGATGATAGATAGATAGATAGATAGATAGATAGATAGATAGATAAATGTGATAGAGATAGATATTAGATTTTAATTAGATATTAGATATTAGATAGATTGGGAACTGGAGGCTAAAACTTATGAAGAATTGCAGAATTGGATATGTCCAGTTTAATAAAAAGGACTAACAGTGACATGATAGCAGCCTTCCAATATTTGATTTGCTGCCACAAAGAAGAGGGGGTCAACCTATCCTCCAAAGCACCTGAAGGCAGGAGAAGCGGCAACAGATGGAAACTAATCAAGGAGAGAAGCAACCCAGAACACTGGAAGTTTTTAAGGAGAGATTGGACAGCCCCTTGTCTGGAATCTGCTTGTGCAGGGGGCTGGACTAGAAGACCTCCTAGGTCCCTTCCAAGCCTATTATTCTACCTTCTGGTTTTCTTCCAGGAAGGACTGAATAGCAGTCCTTGGGCGTCTAAGAGCAAGCAGGGGATTTTTCCCACTTCGGAAACCCAAGCGCTGTAAAATAAACCTTACAGACACACCTTTCCAGGTTGGCTAACCCGTTTGGTTCAAATATTGCCGCATCAGAAAGTTTCCGAGGTCTTGAATTTTTTAGTGAGTTATGATGTCCCATGGACGGTGGAAAAAGACAACGAGGCAGTTCTTTCGGTTGATAGACAACAAGGTTTGTGGAATTCCCCCCCCCCGCTCCTTTTTTTTAATGCCCCGGGCCTCAAGCTTTCAAGGAGATGAAAGGAGACACACATACACACAGACACAAAAAAAATCTCCTGAGAAAAAAAGAATATCTAAGCCAGGGCTTTTCAACCTTTTCACCCACTGTACCATTTTTAGGTTATGGCAGCATCCGAGTACTATCAGTCGCCTAGCAAAGTATCAAAAACTTGATGACACCCCCCCCCCCAAAAAGGAAAAAAAGTGATGAAGTACAGGTAGTCCTCGACTTACAACAGTTCGCTTAGTGACTGTTTGAAGTTACAATGGCACTGAAAAAAGTGCCCCCCCCAGCCACAGCCAATCAAGACACCTGCCTGCCCACCCAGCAGCGCTCTTCCTCCTGTCCGAGGTTTTCATTGTTGTGAGCATTTCTGTTGAGGATTGGCAGTGGGGGTGGGCTGGGGGGTGTTTGGTTTTTATTCCCCCCATCTGCTGGGTGGTTGCAGCAGGTTTTGGTCACTTCACATGACCCTGGGACACTGTGACCATCGTAAATATGAATCATTTGCCAAGCATCTGAATATAAATCACAAGACCCTGGAGAGGCTGCAACATTCCAGCTGATCGACGCTTCTTCTGGGCTCAGCAGAAGCGCCAGGATCAGCGCCGAGCTCCAGCTGGAGCCTGGCGCTGATCCTGGTGCTTCTGCTGAGCCCTGACAGCCCTGCAGCTCCAGCCATCTCTCGCTCAGGCTTGTGCGGTGCTGCCACTGGTTCAGCTCATTCCCCTCCCCTGCTACTACTTTTTTAGGATGGTCGCGCACCACCTGCCAGGTGCCAATGTACCACAGGTGGTACCCGTACCACTGGTTGAAGAGCCCTGGTCTAAGCAAAAGAAAAAAGCATTTCTACCATCAGGAAATATTTTGCTTTTCCTTGGATTGTAATCCATAAATCCTTGATTTATGACTTCAATTGGGGCCAGAATTTCCCTTACTAAGCAAAACGGTTGTTAACGCCAGACACACCTGATTTTTTAGGACCTTTAAAAAAAACAGAAAAATAGTATTTCAAATTTTTAAAATTTTACTTTTATCTTCTTTAGCAGAGTTGTGACCGTGGAAAGTTACAATGGCACTGAAAAAGGGGACTTGTGACTGTTTTTTTACCTTTACGACCGTTGGAGCATCCCCATAGTCACGTGATCCAAATTCGGATCCTTGGCCACTGATTCGTACTTACGACGATTGCAATGTCCCAGAGTCACGTGATTCCCTTTTGCGCCCTCAAAGTCCATGGAGAAACCGGATTCACTTAACAACCGTGTGTTAATAACTTAGCGATTGCAGTGATTCACTTAACAACGGTGGCAAGGAAAGTCGTAAGATGGGGCAAAGGTCACAGCCCAAAGGTCTCACTTAGCAACAAAAAATGTGGGGCTCCGTTGTGGTCGTAAGCCGAGGACTACCGATACTGCCAGGACAGGAATGGAGAGAACAAGACAGGAAAAATAGGAACAGAGAGCAACAAACTCCAGAAACTTTCTTTATACAGTCAGAATTTTAGAATATAATGAAAATTTCCGGCTTGCCGTGCTAGAAATGTAGCTAAGCTTATTTTGGAGATATTGAGAAGAAAAGATTTATTTTATTCTCAGCTTCGCAGGTAGCATAAAAGCCCTTTGAACGAGGGAATTTTATTCTGATCCATTCTAGGGGAAGGCAAGCGTTATTTTTCAGTGGCTTAATTACCTGACACTTTCTGTTAATTAGTCACCACCCGTATCTTTTTGTCTAATTGAATTGCAAAGGGCATGGGCTTTATTCGTGCCCACGGAGTCCCAGTAAATCTTGGCACAGGCAAGCAGTGTTGCACAATGATGCAGAACATTTATCCTCCTGAGTACACACACACACACAAACATATATGTGTGTCTCTTGAATCACATCATTTTAACTCTGTGGGTTTGTGTGCGGAGTGAGAAAGAAAATCAGAAGATGGTATGCTTCAAAAGAAAAAGTTAGTTTTGTGCAGGATCTACTTCCAAAAAATATCTCAGAATAATAGAATAAGAGAGTTGGAAGAGACCTTGGAGATCTTCTAGTCCAGCCCCCTGCAGGAGACCCTATAATACAGTGATGACGATCCTTTTAGAGACCGAGTGCCCAAACTGCAACCCAAAACACACTTATGCATCGTCGGGTGCCGGGTGGTGTGGCCCATTCGCTGGGTGTGGCCCATTGGGTGGGCGTGGCTGCGGTGGTAACGGCAGACTGGGTGGGATAAAAAAGTTCAATCAATCAATTCCAACTTTGCAAGATCTTTTTTTTTTTCCCGCGAGAAGTTGAAATTGACTGATTGATTGAACCTCTTTTTTTTTTTTTGCACACGGCAGCAGAGGCCTAAAGCGAAAAGGTTTTATAAAACTCAGCGGAAGGCCCAGGACTGGGGCGACGGCACGCGTGCCGCCTCTGGCTCTCGTGCCATAGGTTTGCCACCACTGGTTTAGGTTGTTGGAGATGCAGTGAAACAAATATTCTAATTAAACATATTCCATTTTGGTAAGAAGGAATTACATTGTACTGCAGAGCTAGTTTGGTGTAGTGGTTAGGATGCTGGCCTAGAAAACAGAAGGTGGTCAGTTCTAATCCTGCTCTAGGTATGAAAGCCAGCTAGGTGAACTTGGGCTAATCACCAGGAAACTGTGAGTTCTAGATTTGCATGAAAGCCAGCTTTTGCACATGGCGGCGCAGGCCTAAAATGAAAAGGTTTTATAAAACCCAGCTGAAGGCCTAGGACTGGGGTGATGGCGTGCGTGCCCACAGAGAGGGCTCTGAGTGCCGCCTCTGGCACCCGTGCCGTAGGTTCGCCACCACTGCTATACTACCATCCCAGGCTGTCCAATCCCTTCTTAAAAGCCTCCAGTGATGGAGCACCCACAACTTCTGGAGGCAGGTTGTTCCACTGGTTAATTGTTCTAACTGTCAGGAAATTTCTCCTTAGTTCTAGGTTGCTTCTCTCCTTGATGAGTTTCCATCCTTTGCTTCTTGTCCTGCCTTTAGGTGCTTTGGAGAATAGCTTGACTCCCTCTTCTTTGAGGCAGTCCCTCAAATATTGGAAGACTGCCATTATATCACGCTTAGTCCTTCTTTTCACTAGACATACCTAGTTCCTGAAAATGTTCTTCATATGTTTTAGTCTCCAGTCCCCTGATCATCTTTGTTGCTCTTCTCTGCCCTCTTTCTAGAGTCTCAACATCTTTTTAATATTTTGGTGACCAAAAGTGGATGCAGTATTCCAAGTGTGGTCATACCAAGGCATTATAAAGTGGTATTAGCAATTCACGTGATCTTGATTCTATCCCTCTGTTGATGCAGCCTCAGATTGCATTACTGTTTCTGGCAGCTGCAGCACACGGCTGGCTCATATTTAAGTGATTGCCCATGTGACAACATACAAATTCTTAGAGCAGTGTTTCCCAAACTTGACAATTTTAAGGCATGTGGACTTCAACTCCAAGAATTCCACAGCCAGCGCTGGCTGTGGAATTCTGGGAGTTGAAGTCCTCATGCCTTAAAATTGTCGAGTTTGGGAAACACTGTCTTAGAGCATAAGACCAACAGCTTGTTTGCTTGCAAACAAAATTGGCAGTCTTCCAATATTCGAGAGATTGCTCCAGAGAAAAGGGGATCAACTTATTCTCCAAAGCACCTAAAGACAGAACAAGAAGCAATAGATGGAAATTGTCCAGATTTGATCATTTTTGTTTTTGTAATGGCTGGATGTAGACCCTCCAAAAATATTGGGAATCCTTGGGAATCCTTTTTCTCTTATTTATATCCTGTCATTATTAATTATGATGTCTAACCCAATATCTCCATTCCAGGCAGGAGGGGATGAAGATGTCTGATCTTCTTTGAGGACATCCAAGAAGCCAACATGGATAAAATTCTGGAAGCCATCCTGGCCTCTTCCTACCCCGATCACATGAAACAAGGTCTGGTGAGGCGTATCATAGAGGCTTTGAAGAGGACCATGGACACCGAACAGTGTTGGTCAATGCTGGAACTTTCCACCAAACTTTTCCTCTTGGGCGATACCAAATTCAAGAGGTCCGTGGGCAAGGAGATCCTGGAAGTCTGTGGACTTTACCACCAAGAGGCCTTTGAAGAATTCTTCAACGCTCAGTTCCTCCTAAGTCTTCTCCAAGAAGGCTATGGACCTCTCGGGAAGAGAAGCTTGTACGTCTTTGATTACATCCATCTCGGATTGCCCTTCGTTATGGACGGCCCTTCGGCCAACGACGTCTTCAGTCTACTGAGGACGGAAGTCCTACGGAAGATCTGTGAGAGGCCGGGCCTGAAGCAATGTGTGAAGATCAGTAAGCTCTTAACTCACTACCCGCTGTGTGTGCCCACCGGCAAACGCCAAACCCTTTTTTGCCAACAACTGATACGATGCATCGGGCAGTTCCATACCAGCTCCGGACGGGAAGACGCCATTATGGAATTTTTAGACCAGGTGATCCAAGTCACCCTTTTGCTGCAGAAAATCTGGAAAACTCAGATGACCTCCATCCTCCCTTCTCTGAAGGAACTCTTCACCATCATATCGACCATAGGTAGGGAGGGGTGTCTTTTTATACCAGTGGGTCTCAACCTTTTTAATGCCGCGACCCCCAACCGGTTGTAAGTCAAAGACCACTCAACCGGTCGTAAGTCGAGGACTACTCAACTGGTGCAGCACCGTTTGCAGAATGGGACTTTTGGCGGGCTCAGCAGGGCAGAGACAGCCTGGACAATTCCTATTGGCTTTTGAAAGCCAATAGAATTAGACTCTATTCAAGAGAGTCTATTCTATTGGCTTTCAAAAGCCAATAGAAGAAAAGGGAGTAGCGCAGCTAAGGAAAAGGGGGAAAAAAATGGCGGACTGCGTTGTTTGGTGACCCCCGTGAAATGGTCATTCGACCCCAAATGGGGTCCCGACCCACAGGTTGAGAACCACTGTTTTATACATTGGTTTGAAATAGAGCTTTACTGGTAGTCCTCGGCTTACGACCGCAAGGAAAACCAAAATCAGTGGAATGACGACTCCAGAAATTATGGGTGCCCTAGCGCTGGAGATTGGACAGCCATTTGTCTGAAATAGTACAGGGCAGGGTTCCCCAACCTTTCGGGGTTGACAGCCTGGAGTAGAGGGAGGGCGGGAGAAAGAAGAAGGGATGGTTTTGGGAGGGGTAAATGCGTGCGCAACTTACGCTCGTGTGCAAATGTCCGTTGCTCGCGTGAGCGGGACTGCAAATGCCCACAACACTCGTGTGGCGACGCTCGCGCGAGTGGGGCTGCACGCGCACACACGTACGCCAACCAGCCACGCATGCGGCCCGGTGGCCATTAGGCCAAGGCCCGGTAGTGGGCTGTGGCCCACACAGGTTGGGGACCCCTGGTATAGGGTTCTCCTGCTTGAGCAAAAATGGCCGTAAAATCAGGCGTGACCATCTGGTGGCTTTATGACATAGCAGCTTATAATTGAAATTGCGAGCTCAGTAATGGTTATAAGTCAAGGACTATCGGCCTACAGCCACCCTGTCCCTTAGGTCAGAGGTCCCCAACCTTTTGGGCACCAGGGACCCGTTCCGTGGAGAGAGGTTTTTCCATGGACCAGAGGGTGTGTGGTTTTGTGTGCTGCCTGCATCCCACCTATGGGGCTTTGCTTGTTTGTGCGGACCGGTTGCTGGCATGCCACAGCCCGGTATTAGTCCAAGGGCAGGGGTTGGGGACCCTTGCCTTAGGTTCTTAAACCGTCCTGAGGTGCAATTTGTGACTTGCCTGTGTCTTCATGATTCTCAGTGGGCAAAACCCTGAGAGAAACGATGCTTGCGGTTCGCGAAGTTTCAACTTCCAAGCGGTTTTCCTCCCCTGCTAATGTTTTGCAGAAGACCAGGATCCCTCGATTGCCTTAGCCAGCGTGGTCCAGTACGTTCCTCTGGAGCTGATGGACGGCATCCTAAGAAACCTCACCAACGACGACAGCATCACTGACCTTCAGATGATGACCGCGATTGGAAGGTGAGGAGAAATCGAAAGTCACTGGTGATCCAATCTGGGTTGGTCACTGGGACCAGAGATTTTAGTCTTCTGGGCTTTCCGACTCAGAATAACAAAGTTGGAAGGGACCTTGGAGGTCTTCTAGTCCAGCCCCCTATTCCATTTCACACAAATAGTTGTCTTCTTAAAAACCTCCAACGATGGAGCACCCACAGCCTTTCCACTGTTTTCACTGTTAGGAACTTTCTCCTAAGTTTTAGGTTTCTTCTCTCCTTGAGTTTCCATCCGTTGCTTCTTGTCCTGCCTTCAGGCGCTTTGGAGAAGAGCTTGACTCCCTCTTCTTTGGGGCAGCCCCTCAGATACTGGAATGCCGCTATCCTGTCCCCCCTCGTCCTTCTCTTCGTTAAATTAGACATACCCAATTCTAGCAACCGTTCCTTATATGTTTTAACCTCCAGTCCCCTAATCATCTTTGTTGCTGTTCTCTGCACCTGTGTTCAGATGTGTGTTAGAGCCCATCCTTCTTCTCTTTCTCTTTCTCCTCCTCCTCCTCCTCATTCTCTTCCCTTCTCCTCCTCCTCCTTTTTCTCTTCCTCTCCCTCCTCCTCCCCTCCTCTTCCTCCTTTTCTTCCTCCTCCTCCCCTCCTCCCTCCTCCTCCTTTTTCTCTTCCTCTCCCTCCTCCTCCCCTCCTCTTCCTCCTCCTTTTCTTCCTCCTCCTCCCCTCCTCCTCCTTTTTCTCTTCCTCTCCCTCCTCCTCCCCTCCTCTTCCTCCTCCTTTTCTTCCTCCTCCTCCCCTCCTCCTCCTTTTTCTCTTCCTCTCCCTCCTCCTCCCCTCCTCCTTCTCTTCCTCCTCTCCTCCCTCCTCCTCCTCCTTTTTCTCTTCCTCTCCCTCCTCCTCCCCTCCTCCTTCTCTTCCTCCTCCCCCTCTCTTCCTCCTCCTCCTCCCCTCCTCCCTCCTCCTTTTTCTCTTCCTCTCCCTTCTCCTCCCCTCCTCCTCTTCCTCTTTCTCCTCCTCCTCCTCTTCCTTTTCTTCCTCCTCCTCTCCTCCTCCTTCCTCCTCCTTTTTCTCTTCCTCTTTCTCCTCCTCCCCTCCTCCTCCTCCCCCTCTTCTCCGCCTCCTTTTTCTCTTCTTCTCCTCCTCCCATCCTCCTCCTCCTTTTCCTCCCCTTCCTCCTCCTCTTCCTCCTCCTTTCCTTTTTCTCTTCCTCTTCTTCTTCCTCCTCCTCCTCTCCTCCTCACATATGCATTAGATAGGATTTCTTCTCAGTTCCCATCGTTCTTCAGGATCTCAGAAATGGCTCCATGTCTGAATCTGCCTCTCTGAAGCTGGCTTGCATTGATTCATCTCTCTCTCCCTCCCTCCCTCCCTCCCTCCCTCCCTCCTTCCCCCTCCCCCTCCCTCCCTCCCTCTCTCTCTCCATCTTTCTCCCTGCAGGATGATTGAATGGGTCTCCTGGCCCCTGGGGAAGAACTTAGACAAATGGATCATCGCCTTGCTGAAGAATTTGGCGGCAGTGAAGAGGTTCAGCATCCTGATGGAAGTCACGCTTTCCAAAATTGAGCGCGTCGGTTTGATCCTTCCTATGTCTTTACGCTATTGTGTTTGTCAAGGAGGGAGACCAGTGAAAAATCAGAATTTTGTTTCTGGTCCGTGTCTCTGCGACAACGCTCCATGCCCTACACTGTACCGGTAGTCCTCAACTTACAGGCAATCATTTAGTGACCGTTCAAAGTTAGGACGGCATTAAAAACAGTGTCTCGGGACTGTCTTTCACAGTTACGACCATTGCAGCATCTCTGCGGTCACGTGATCCAAATCCAGATGCTTGGCAACCGGCATGTGTTTGTGACTGTTGCCCTGTCCTCTTTTGTGACCTTCCGGCAAGCAAAATCAGCCAGACTCACTTAACAACCGTCTTACTCACTTAACAACTGCAGCGATCCATTTACTAACGGTCGTTAAAAAAAGATTGTAAAATGAGGCAAAAGTCAACAACTGCCTTGCTTAGTAATAGAATTGTTGGGGTCAATGGTGGTTGTAAGTCAAGGACTACCTGTAATTGTGTTTCTTATCCTGGTTTACCCCCACCCCCAAGGCTGACCCCCCCACCCCCAGCCTACCTGTGATTAGGGATGTACTGATTCTGGCCATCTCTGGGTTGTTGTTTTGGGGTTTCTACTAATCCTTACAGTAAAAATATTAAGGTGTTTTAAACTGGAATACAGCCAGGATTTATAATAATAATAGTAGTAGTAGTAGTAGTAGTAGTAAAGTTGGAAGGGACCTTGGAGGTCATCTAGTCCAACCCCCTGCTCAGGCAGGAAAGCCTATACCATTTTGGACAAATGGCTGTCCAGTCTCTTCTTAAAAACTTCCAGTGTTGGAGCATTCACCGCTTCTGGTGGCAAGCAGTTCCACTGGTTAATTGTTCTCACTGTCAGGAAGTTTCTCCTTAATTCTAGGTTGCTTCTCCCCTTGATTAGTTTTTTTTTGTAGGTAAGTCATCAGCAAATTCCCCTAGAAAACAGGTGAAAAACCCTTTGTTTACCTGACCATTGATGTAACAACAACAACAACAGTAATAATAATAATAATAATAATAATAATAATAATAATAATAATAATAAAAAGTTGGAAGGGACCTTGGAGGTCATTTAATCTAACCCTCTGCTCAGGCAGGAAACGCTGTAAATGAGAATCCCAAAAGATCGGCAAAGCCGATTTCCCCACTTCAGATCTTAAGTATCGAACTTTTTCTGGATTCAAGGCAAATTCCACAGAGTCTTTGGTATGAATCCCACCCAACAGTGAGTGAATGGTTGGGATCCACTGGGTGACACTAATAATACTGCTGTGATTTTTAACTAGTTTGGCCATCTTTTACTTGGCTCCTGCTTTGTTACTTGTATCCTGCCTTGATCATTTTTATAAATAACTCAAGGTGATGAACATATCTCATACTCCTTCCTCCACTCTTTTCTCCATAATAAAAACCCTGCGAGGTGGGTTGGGCTAAGAGAGAGGGACTGGCTCAAAGTCTCCCAGCAGGCTTTCATGCCTAAGGTGGGACTAGAACTCACCGTCTCCTGATGATTGGCCCAAAGTCACCCAGCAGGTTTTCATTCCTAAGGCGGGACTAGAACTCAGAGTCCCCTGATGATTGGCCCAAAGTCACCCAGCAGGTTTTCATGCCTAAGGCGGGACTAGAACTCACAGTCCCCTGATGATTGGCCCAAAGTCACCCAGCAGGTTTTCATGCCTAAGGCGGGACTAGAACTCACCGTCTCCTGATGATTGGCCCAAAGTCACCCAGCAGGTTTTCATTCCTAAGGCGGGACTAGAACTCAGAGTCCCCTGATGATTGGCCCAAAGTCACCCAGCAGGTTTTCATGCCTAAGGCGGGACTAGAACTCACCGTCCCCTGATGATTGGCCCAAAGTCACCCAGCAGGTTTTCATGCCTAAGGAGGGACTAGAACTCAGCGTCCCCTGATGATTGGCCCAAAGTCACCCAGCAGGTTTTCATGCCTAAGGAGGGACTAGAACTCACAGTCCCCTGATGATTGGCCCAAAGTCACCCAGCAGGTTTTCATGCCTAAGGCGGGACTAGAATTCACCGTCTCCTGATGATTGGCCCAAAGTCACCCAGATGGTTTTCATGTCTAAGGCGGGACTAGTTTTCTCAGTCTCCTGGTGATTGGCCCAAAGTCAACCAGATGGTTTTCATGCCTAAGGCGGGACTAGAACTCACCGTCTCCTGATGATTGGCCCAAAGTCACCCAGCAGGTTTTCATGCCTAAGGCGGGACTAGAACTCACAGTCCCCTGATGATTGGCCCAAAGTCACCCAGCAGGTTTTCATGCCTAAGGCGGGACTAGAATTCACCGTCTCCTGATGATTGGCCCAAAGTCACCCAGATGGTTTTCATGTCTAAGGCGGGACTAGTTTTCTCAGTCTCCTGGTGATTGGCCCAAAGTCAACCAGATGGTTTTCATGCCTAAGGCGGGACTAGAACTCACCGTCTCCTGATGATTGGCCCAAAGTCACCCAGCAGGTTTTCATGCCTAAGGCGGGACTAGAACTCATCATCTCCTGGTGATTGGCCCAAAGTCACCCAGCTGGCTTTCATGCCTGAGGCGGGACTAGAACTCCCAGTCTCCTGGTGATTGGCCCAAAATCACCCAGCCGGCTTTCATGCTTTACATTCTCCAGACTCCAGTCTCGGTCTTGCACAGCATCTCTTACCAGGCCGGAGATGATGCTGTAGGAATTATGTTTATCCTGATTCTGCCAATCTACTTCTCTTAAATCTTTTTTTTCCCAAATTTTTTTTTATTAATTTTCCAATACTACTTCCCTTAAATCTTTATTTTGCTGTTTTTTCAGGTGTTTTCCAAGCTGCTCTACCCTATTCTGAGAGAGGGGGCTGTCTCTATTCTGCGTTACATGTTGCTGAGTTTCCAACACTCTCACGAAGCATTTCATCTGGTAAAGGAAATGAATCCCTGTTCCAATCAATTGTGTATTGTTTTGAGTCTCTGGCCAGCTTATATGGATATTTATTGAGAATGAAAGCCAATATGCCTATCCCAGGATAAATGTTGCAGAAGAAGCTCAGGTTCCAAAAAGATCTTGACAAGACTTGAACAACGGGCCCTATCCAACAACCTGAAATTTAATGAATAATAATAATAACAACAACAACAACAACAACAACAGTAAAGTTGGAAGGGACCTTGGAGGTCATCTAGTCCAACCCCCTGCTCAGGCAGGAAACCCTATACCATTTCGGACAAATGGCTGTCCAGTCTCTTCTTAAAAACTTCCAGGGTTGGAGCACTCACAGCTTCTGGAGGCAGGTTGTTCCCCTGGTTAATTGTTCTAACTGTCAGGAAGTTTCTCCTTAGTTCCAGATTGCTTCTCTCCTTGATGAGTTTCCATCCGTTGCTTCTTGTCCTGCCTTCAGGCACTTTGGAGAATAGCTTGACTCCCTCTTCTTTGGGGCAGCCCCTGAGATATTGGAAGACTGCTATCATGTCCCCCCTCGTCCTTCTCTTCATTAAACTGGACATACCCAATTCTAGCAACCATTCCTTATATGTTTTAGCCTCCAGTCCCCTAATTATCTTTGTTGCTCTTCTCTGTACTCTTTCTAGAGTCTCAACATCTTTTTTACATCGCGGTGACCAAAACTGAATGCAGTATTCGAAGTGTGGCCTTACCAAGGCCTTGTAAAGTGGTATTAACACTTCACGTGATCTTGATTCTATCCCTCTGTTAATGCAGCCTAGCACTGTGTTGGCTTTTTTGGCAGCTGCAGCACACGGCTGGCTCGTATTTAAGTGATTGTCTCCTAGGACTCCGAGATGCCTCTCACAGTTACTACTATTGAGCAAGGCACCCCCTATACTATACCTATACATTTGGTTTTTCTTGCCTAAATATTTATATGTTACTTATATGTAAGTTCTATACATATGTTGTATATAGTATATAGTATGTTTTAAATGTGTGTTGTGGCTGTGTACACTTGGAGAGGAAGCAACTAAATTTCATTTTTAATGTGTGCCATTGTGCCCACAGAGGAAAAAAAAAAGACAATAAAGGTTATCTAATGTGGAGAAAAGCAAGGTTTTACACCTAGGCAGGAAAAAATCAAAGCTGCAAGTCTGTCTAATTCCCTAAGAGAGGGTTCCAGCATGAATCCAAAAACTCGGAAGACCGACCCAGACTGGATCTTGCAATATTTATTGCAGTTAGCTCTCTGGGTTTCCTTGTTTTTTATCCTTGACCATATGCTCACCCTTTTCCTTGGGTACCCATTCCATTCCTTGATGCTTCTCAATATTTTATTTCCTCTGACAGCTTCTGCCACATATACCCAGAGTGGTGGCAGCGCTTCAAAAGGAAAACTCCAATTCGGCATCCCGGTGTTTGGACCAGCTGGCCGAATTGATCCACTGCATGTTTTTCTGCTTCTCGGGATTTCCAGATCTCTACGAACCTCTGGTGGAAGCCATAAAAGTAAGCCTGCTCCTTTTATGCACCTCAGGTAACCGTTAGAGGGGATGAGGTAAAACCCCTGAGAATTGGAACCAAGATTATTTTGCCTGTAGTGACAAAGTCTAAATCTTAGCCAGAATTGGTCCTGATTGGAATCAGAACCTTAGCTTTAAAGCAGGGCTCTTCAAACTTGGCCCCTTCATGACTTGTGGACTTCAATTCCCAGAATTCCTCAGCCAGCATGGGGAAACTATGGCCCCTTCATGACTTGTGGACTTCAACTTCCAGAATTCCTGAGCCAGCATGGGGAAAACTATGGCCCCTTTATGATTTGTGAACTTCAACTCCCAGAATTCCTCAGCCAGCATGGGGGAACTATGGCCCCTTCATGACTCATGCACTTCAACTCCCAGAATTCCTGAGCCAGCATGGGGGAACTATGGCCCCTTCGTGACTCGTGGACTTCAACTCCCATAATTCCTCAGCCAGCATGGGGGAATTATGGCCCCTTCATGACTCGCGGACTTCAACTCCCAGAATTCCTCAGCCAGCATGGGGGAAGTATGGTCCCTTCATGACTCGCGGGCTTCAACTCCCAGAATTCCTCAGCCAACATGGGGGAACTATGGTCCCTTCATGACTCGTGGACTTCAACTCCCAGAATTCCTCGGCCTGCATGAGGGAACTATGGTCCCTTCATGACTTGTGGACTTCAACTCCCAGAATTCCTCAGCCAGTGTGCCTGGCTGAGGAATTCTGGGAGTTGGTCCACAAGTCATAAAAGGGCCAAGTTTGAAGAGCCCTGCTTTAAAGCTTTCTTGGACCTGGATAGGTTTATTAAGATGTTTCTTTTAAAATTCTTTTAAAATTATATTTATTTACTTGTATCGGGCCTTTATTCTTTTTTACTCAAGGCGGTGAGCATACATAATACTCCTTCCTCCTCCTCTTTTCCCCACAAAAACAATCCTGTGAGGTGGGCTGGGCTGAAGAAAAATGACTGGCCTAAAGTCACCGAGATGGCTTTCCGGCCTAAGGCAGTACTAGAATTCACTGTCTCCAGGTGATTGCCCAAAAGTCAGCTAGCTGACTTTCATCCCTAAGGCAGTCTCCTGATGATGGGCCCAGAGTAATCTCAGCCAACTTTCATGTCTAAAGCGAGACTAGAACTCACCTTCTTTTGGTGATTCGTCCAATATTGCCCAGCTGGCTTTCATGCCTAAGGCCGTACTAGAACTCACCCTCTCCTGGTGACTAGATCATCACTAGACCAAACTGATTCCCCCACTATTCGTGGTAGGGCTTCTTGTCTGGACTACCTCAAAGGGCTAACAGATAGGCAACAGCTTTACAGCATTTGTCAACAGAATTCAGGGTGCACACAGGTTCGATAAAATGACCGTAGAGAGCAATGGTCTGCTAATTCTCTCTCTCTCCCCCCCTCCCTCTTTCTCTCTCCCTCTCCCGCTCTCTCTCTCTCCCACACACACCCTCTCCTTCTCTCTCCCGCTTCCTTTCTCACCCCATCTCTCATTCTGCCCCTCTCTCCCTTTTTCTGTCCCCTCTCCCTCTCTTCCTCTCCCTCTTTCTCTCTCCCTTTCCCACTCTCTCTCCCACACACACCCTCTCCTCTCTCCTTCTCCCTCTTCCTTTCTCACTCCACCTCTCACTCTCCCCCTCTCTCCCTCTCCCTTTCTCTGTCCCCTCTCCCCCTCTTCCTCTTTCTCTCTCCCTTTCCCACTCTCTCTCTCCCTCTCTTCTTCTCCTTCCTTTCTTGCCCTACCTCTCACTCTCCCCCCTCTATCTCTACCCACCCTTTCTCTCTACCTCTCTCCCTTTCTCTCTCCCACCCTCTCCTACTGTCTCCCTCTCCCTTTCTCTGTCCCCTCCCTCTTTCTCTCTCCCTCTCCCACTCTCTCTCTCCCACACACACCCTCTCCTTCTCTCTCCTTCTCCCTCTTCCTTTCTCACCCCACCTCTCACTTTCCCCCTCTCCCTTTTCCTTTCTCTGTCCCCTCTCCCCCTCTTCCTCTCCCTCTTTCTCTCCCTTTCCCACTCTCTCTCTCCCACACACTCTCCTTCTCTCTTCTTCTCCTTCCTTTCTTGCCTTACCTCTCACTCTCCCCCTCTCTCTCTACTCACCCTTTCTCTCTCGCCCTCCCACTCTCTCTCCCACCTCTCCTACTCTGTCTCCCTCTCCCTTTCTCTGTCTCCTCTCCCCCTCTCCCTCTTTCTCTCTCCCTCTCCTGCTCTCTCTCTCCCACACACACTCTCTCCTTCTCCTTCTTCCTTTCTCACCCCACCTCACTCTCCCCCTCTCCCCCCTCTCTCTTGCTCTTCCTCTCTCTACTCCTCTCCCTCTTTCTCCCTCTCCCTCTCTCTCCTTCACCCTCTCTCTGTCTCCTCTCCCTCTCTCCCTGTCCCTGTCCCTCTTTCTCTCTCCTATCTCTCTCTCTCCCTTCTCTCCCTCTCTCTCCCCCCCGCCCTCTCCCTCTCTCCCTCTCCCTCTGTCTTTCTCTTTCTCTTCTCGGAAGGCTGTCCCAATTCCTAACGAAGATCGCATTAAGCATCTGCTTGGGCAGAATGCTTGGACCTCCCAGAAAAACGAGCTGGCCAACCTCTATCCTCGCTTGGCCTCCAAATCGGACACCGGGAAGATTGGCTTAATTAACCTGGGGAACACCTGCTACATGAACAGCATCCTCCAGGCTCTCTTCATGGCCTCAGAGTAGGCAGCCCTCTCCTGCTTCTTCCTCCCTTCTTCCGATCCACCCGCCTTCCTGTGTTTGTATCTAGGGGTTTCGTCCATGTTGCCTCTTTCCGGCTGTCTAAACCAGTGGTTCTCAACCTTTTTAATGCCGCGACCCCCAAGCGGTCATAAGTCGAGGACTACTCAACCGGTTGTAAGTCGAGGACTACTCAACTGGTGCAGCCCCGTTTGCAGAATGGGACTCTTGGCGGGCTCAGCAGGGCAGAGACAGCCTGGACAATTCCTATTGGCTTTGGAAAGCCAATAGAATTAGACTCTATTCAAGAGAGTCTCTTCTATTGGCTTTCAAAAGCCAATAGAATAAAAGGGAGTAGCACAGCTAAGGAAAAGGGGAGGGGGGAAATGACGGACTGTGTTGTTTGGCGACTCCCGTGAAATGGTCGTTCGACCCCAAATGGGGTCCCGACCCACAGGTTGAGAACCACTGGTCTAAACGATGCGAGTTTAGGAAAAGGAAACGGGAGTACAGGTAGTCCTTGACTTACGACCACAATTGAGTCCAAAATGTCCATTGCTAAGCGAGACAGGCGTTAATTAAGTTTTGCCACATTTTAACAATCTTTCTTTCCACGGTTGTTAAGTGAGTCATTGCCGTTGTTAAGTGAATCAGGCTTCCCCATTGACTTTACTTGTCAGAAGGTCGCAAAAAAGGGATCACGTGACCCCAGGACGTTGCAATCGTCATAAATACAAGTCAGTTGCTAAGTGTCTGAATTTTTTTTTCCTTTTTTAAATTTTTTTTATTTTATTTTTAACCAACAAAACAAAACAAAACAAAGCAAAACACACATACACACACAGTATAACACACATACACACACACTATATACTCCTCCCCTTTTTTTTAACAGCGATTACATAACGGTAATCTTCTATTATTTACATTTCCCCCCTTATTCTTTTTTAGAATATTTGTCCTTATTGCCCTGTTGTTTCTTATTTACATTTTTCTTCCTTCATATTCTACTTCTTACTAAGAATAATTCATATTATTATTATTATATATTATTATACACATATTTTCACTTTTGTAAGTGTCTGAATTTTGATCAGGTGACCCTGGGGAGGCTGCAACGGTCGTAAGTGTGAAAAAACTGGTCGTAAATCACTTCTGTCGGTAATGTGGTAACTTTGAATGGTTGCTGAACGAATGGTTATAAATGGAGGACCACCAGTATCCCTATTAGAAGCATCTAATCCAAGCTCGTCCATCGTTACGAAACGTAGCAATAGTCCATTTGAGGATTTATCCCTCGGATTATTGGCTCAGAATCAATAATCGGGACCAGCAAATTTGCTGAATCTGCAGCACGGAGTTAACAAATTTGATTTAGCACAGCGTCCGATAAAGATAAACTGAGTTGCATTCAGGAATGAGCAGTTGATTTTATAGCAATAGGCCTTTTTCCAGATGTTTGCAAATTTCTTTCCAGTCTGGGATTTTTCTGGTGGGATCCCAGCCATGTATCCACCAGCTTTCAACTTGCTTAGGTTCCAAGCTCAAGCAACAGCATCCCAACCTTGTTATTTGCTGAGCCGGACTATTTTATCGTTTCAAATAAAGAAGACAAGAATTTCACTTAGAATCGATTTATAGCAATAGTAACAGCACTTAGATGTATACTGTATACCGCTTGACCGTGCTGTACAGCCCTGTCTGAGCGGTTTACAGAGTCAGCATCTTGGGCCCCCCCCAACAATCTGGGTCTTCATTTTACCAAGGAAGGAGGGAAGGCTGAGTCAACCTTGAGTTGGTCAGGATCGAACTCCTGGTAATGAGCAGAGGGTTAGCTTGCAATACTGCATTCCTATCATTGTGCCGGAGGGAGGGAGGAAGGGAGAGAGGGAGGGAGGGAGGAAGGAAGAGAGGAAAGAAGGAAGGGAGGAAGGGAGGAGGGAGGGAGGAAACAAAGGAGGAAGGAAGGGAGGGAGGGAGGAAGGGAGAGAGGGAGAGAGGAAGGAAGGGAGGAAGAAAGGGAGGGAGGAAGGGAGGGAGGGAGAGAGGAAGAAAGGGAGGGAGGAAGGGAGGGAGGGAGAGAGGAAGGGAGGGAGGGAAGGAGGAAGGGAGGGAGGGAGAGAGGAAGGGAGGGAGGGAGGAAGAGAGGAAAGAAGGGAGGGAGGGAGGAAAGAAAGAAGGGAGGAAGGAAGGGAGGAAGGAAGGGAGGGAGGAAAGGAGGGAGGGAGGAAGGGAGAGAGGAAAGAAAGAAGAGAGGGAGGGAGGAGGGAGGAAAGAAAGAAGGGAGAGAGGTAGGGAGGGAGGAACGGAAGAAGAGAGGGAGAAAAAGGAAGGAAGGAAGGGAGGAAGGAATGGAGGGAGGAAGGGAGGGAGGAAGAAAAGAAAGAAGAAAGGAAAGAAAGAAAAGAAAGAAAGAGAGAGAGGGAGGGAGGGAGGGAGGGAGGGAGGGAGGGAGGGAGGGAGAGGAATAGCAACAGACTTATATACCGCTTGGTTTACAGCCCTCTCTGAGCGCTTTCCAGACTCAGCATATTTGCCCCAACAATCCGGGTCCTCATTTTACCCACCTCGGAAGGAGGGAAGGCTGAGTCCAACTTGAGCCGGTCAGGATCGAACTCCTGGCTGTGGGCAGTGAGTTAGCCTGCAATGCTGTACTCTAACCGCTGGGCCACCAGGGCTCTTGTAACCACTCAGGACAAAAACTTACGTGTGGCATTTTGCAATGAACAAAAGCCAGGACCGTCTGTACAGTTCGGGGGCTTAACGCAGCCAAAGAGAAGAACTGTGTGTAATTATTTTTGGGCCCACTCCCCTCTGTTTAATAGAGCTTGTACTTTAGCTAAGGCCACCTGGAGGCTGAGCAAGGACGGTGGGTGGCCATAGAACGCCACCCACCACAAACCTATTATTTATATGTTCCTAGTTCTGCGCGATCTTAAAGGAAGGGCGATGATGGCCTAGAGCAGTGTTTCCCAAACTTGACAATTTTAAGGCATGAGGACTTCAACTCCCAGAATTCCACAGCCAGCAACGCTGGCTGTGGAATTCTGGGAGTTGAAGTCCACATGCCTTAAAATTGTCAAGTTTGGGAAACACTGGCCTAGAGAGGTTGCATCCACGTGGGGCCTGTGCTTTAAGTAAATGGATTAGCTGACGAGGGGATTTTGTGACGAGTTTCCCTTTTTAAATGTCCTTTCCAGCTTCAGGCGGTCGGTGCTGAATTTAGCCGAGAACAACTCCCAGCCTCTGGCGGCAAAACTACAATGGCTCTTTGCCTTTTTAGAGCACAGCCAGGTAATTAATCGAATGTTTTCTTCATTGCAAGATGTTGCCTTTGGGGGGGCTGTAAGCTCCAGGTTTGTTGGAGGGATGCACGAGGGATTAAGGAAATGCTTCTCGGCTGGGGCAGCTTTGAAAGTATGGACTTCCAACTCCCAAAATTCCCCAGCCATCGTGCCTGAGGCAGAACTAGAACTCGCCATCTCCGGCTGATTGGCTCAATGTCACCCAGCCAGCTTTTCAGGCCTAAGGTGGGACTAGAACTCACAGTCTCCTGGTGATTGGCTCAAAGTCACCCAGTTGGCATTCATGCCTAAGGCAGCACTAGAACTCACGGTCTCCTGGTGATTAGTCCAAAGTCACCCAGCTGGCTTTCATGACTATGGTGGCACTAGAATTCACCGTCTCCTAGTGATTGGCCCAAAATCACCCAACTGGCTTTCATGACTAAGCTGGCACTAGAATTCACAGTCTCCTGGTGATTAGTCGAAAGTCACCCAGCTAGCTTTGATGAATAAGTTGGCGCTAGAACGCACAATCTCCTGGTGATTAGTCCAAAGTCACCCAGTTGGCTTTCATGACTACGGTGGCACCAGAATTCAGTCTCCTGGTGATTGGCCCAAAATCACCCAGCTGGCTTTCATGGCTAAGCTGGCACTAGAATTCACAGTCTTCTGGTGATTGGCCCAAAATCACCCAGCTGGCTTTCATGGCTAAGCTGGCACTAGAATTCACAGTCTCCTGGTGATTAGTCCAAAGTCACTCAGCTGGCTTTGATGACTACGATGGCACTAGAACTCACTATCTCCTGGTGATTGGTCCAAAATCACCCAGCTGGCTTTCATGGCTAAGGTGAGACTAGAACTCACCCTATCCTTGTTTCTAGGATGGCACCTCAGCCACTACACCCGACTGCTTACAAAATTCAAATAAACCAATGTATAAATTTAGCAGGCACAAAAGAAAAATCAGTTCCAATAACCTTAATGGAAAAAAAAACAACCCAGGTAAAACAGGATATCTAAACTGCAGGAACCAAAACATTTTTCAATGTGTTTTTTTTCTCTCTCTCTCCACTCTTCTCGCCTCTCTGATACCTCTGCAAGCGGCCTGCAATTTCTCCTGAAAATTTCCTTTTGGCTTCGTGGCCGCCCTGGTTCTCCCGCGGAGCCCAGCAGGATTGCTCTGAGTATCTGAAATACCTGCTGGATCGGTAAAGTAGATTGTGGATGGTTTGGGAAAATGTGATTTGGATTTGTTTAAGCCAGATTTTTTTTCCCCAGCCTTGAGCACTTTAAGAGGCGTGGACTTCAACTCCCAGAATTCCTCAGCCAGCATGGCTGGCTGGGGAATTCTGGGAGTTGAGGTCCACTCCTCATAAACTAGCCTCGGATTAAGGCTGAGGAGAAATTACTCTGTAGAGAAAACTGGAGAGTTTTCAGCTATAATTAATTTAAAGACTACGGAAACGGGCAGCTATAAATAATTTAAACCAGCAATGAATGAATGAATGAATAATGCTGGCTTTCCAAATTCGGGAGAGATTTATATCTGGATTCAACAGCGGATATTTTTAAGAAGAGATTGGACAACCATTTCCCTGCAATGGTATAGGGTCTCCTACTTGAGCAATGGGTTGGACTAGAAGACCTCCTAGGGTCCCTTCCAATTCTGTTGTTCTTTTATTCTGGATTGGTTTTCAGGGAGAATGGCTTGAATTTGGATTCACCTATGAACAAAGTCTGACATGTCACGGCCTAAAAAGTTTTCTTCCCACTCTAAAACTCCCCTTTTAACGACCAAATTCGGGGTAATGTTCAGGGTGGGATTCTTTTTTAAAAAAAATATCCTTTGTTCTGGTTTTAAAAGGAGAGTTTCTATCCCTTAGTGCAGGCACGCTGGCTGAGGAATTCTGGGAGTTGAAGTCCACAAGTTATAAAAGGGCCAAGTTTGAAGACCCCTGACATAATGTGAGGGGAAAATAATGCTAACTCAGAAAGAGCTACCGGTGTTTCTCAACCTCGGCCATTTTAAGAGGTATGGACTTCAACTCCCAAAATTCCTCAGCTAGCGTGTCTGGCTGAGGAATTCTGGGAGTTGAAGTCCACAAGTCATAAAAGGGCCGAGATTGAGAAACACCGGAACTTTAACTCTTCCTGAGTTAGCATTATTTCCCTGACATAACATGAGGGGGAAATAATGCTAACTCAGAAAGAGCTGAACTGGTGTTTCTCAACCTTGACCATTTTAAGAGGTGTGGACTTCAACTCCCATAATTCCTCAGCCAGTGTGCCTGGCTGAGGAATTCTGGGAGTTGAAGACCACAACTCATAAAAGGGCCAAGTTTGAAGACCCCTGCCTTAGTGTCTCTTTTCTTCTTCATTCTTCCAAAAGTCTTCATGAGGAAGAGAGAACTGGTAGAAGGATCTGTCAAAAACTCAAGGCCTGTTCCTTGGTGTCTCCTGGCGACCGTCAGCCCTCCGTGAACAAAACCCTGGTGGAAGAGATGTTTGGTGGCAAAATTAAGACCAAGATCCGTTGTCTGAAGTGCCTGCAGGTCTCCTCCAGAGAAGAAGCCTTCACAGATCTCTCCTTAGCTTTTCCACCTGCTGATGACCACAAGGCCGGACATGTCAGCAGTGCATCGATTAGGTCTGGAGAAGAAACGGGCCCTGAGATCTCTCCGTCAAGGATCCAGACTCAAAGCAGTCTAAAGGACTTGCCAGCTAGATCAGGGATATTGAGAGCCCTTGGACAGAATCCTTCTAAAAGTCCAGCTAGGGAAGAAGTTGTGTCAAAAATTGTGGAGACTTCTTTCCCCTTGATATCCGGGCGAGACTCTGTTGAAGTGAAGCCCATCAAAGAATCTGACCTGGCTTTACAGAAGCAAGTTTCTGGCTGTCGGGCTTCCAGATCTGTCCCGGATTTGATCAATTATTTCTTATCACCTGAGATGCTCACGGCGGAGAATAAGTATCACTGTGAGAATTGCGCCTCCCTTCAGGATGCCGAGAAGTTGACCGAACTGACCCAAGGGCCTCACTACCTCATCCTCACCCTGTTGAGGTTCTCCTTTGACCTTGGAATGATGAGAAGAAAGAAAATCCTTGACAACGTCTCGGTCCCATTGATCCTCAAGCTGCCGGTCCTGGTGTCTTCTGATCCAGGGAAGACCTCAGGATGGACTTCATCCTGCAAGGACTTCGCTTCAGTGGTGTACGATCTCTGCAGCGTGGTGGTCCATTCTGGGGTCTCCTCAGAAAGCGGTCATTACTACTGCTACGCCAGGGAATGCGAGGATCCGGCCACGGAGAGCCCTTGTCAGGACAACACTCGGAACACGGCTTCCACAAAGTCTACCGACGTGGAGATCCAGTGGTACATTTTTAACGACACCAGGGTTGTCTTCTCTTCTTTTGAATCTGTGAGTAACGTGACCTCTTTTCTGCCGAAGGACACGGCTTATCTGCTCTTTTACCGACAGAGAGGGAGGCAGGCCTCCAACGGAGCTGGTCCGGAGCCCAGTTGGACAAACAGAAGCTTACATTCTCCAGATAAGAACTTGATGGATGCCATTGCCAAGGACAACATCTTATTCTTGCAGGTAACATGGTGTCCCACTACTATTAAGTCCTTTCTTTTGTTTTTTTTTTATTTTCTCCTAGTGAAGGGATTTTATTGTGCTTATGATTTTAGTATGTTTAAGTTTGACATTAGCATTTATTTTACATATAGTAACCATTTTATATTGATAATTATAGTGTTATCATGTAATCATTGTTTTGTTATTTTGTAATCATTGTTTTATAGTTAATTGCTTGATCAGATGCTTTATATATATATTGGAAAAGTAAGGGCTTCATGCTTTAGGTATAGATGATTGCTTATATCAGTGGTTCTCAACCTTTTTAATGCCATGACCCCCAACCGGTCGTAAGTCGAAGACTACTCAACCAGTTGTAAGTCGAGGACTACTCAACTGGTGCAGCACTGTTTGCAGAATGGGACTTTTGGCAGGCTCAGCAGGGCAGAGACAGCCTGGACAATTCCTATTGGCTTTTGAAAGCCAATAGAATTAGACTCTATTCAAGGGAGTCTATTCTATTGGCTTTCAAAACCCAATAGAATAAAAGGGAGTAGCACAGCTAAGGAAAAGGGGGAAAAAATGGCGGACTGAAATGGTCGTTCGACCCCAAATGGGGTCCCGACCCACAGGTTGAGAACCACTGGCTTATATGAAAAAAGCACAGTAAGGGGAGGGGGGAAAGGAGTTACGGATGGAGCCTGGGTTGCTGTGTATGAGTCATCATCTAGGACAGTGATTGCTTATATCAGTGGTTCTCAACCTTTTTAATGCCGCGACCCCCAACCGGTCGTAAGTCGAGGACTACTCAACCAGTTGTAAGTCGAGGACTACTCAACTGGTACAGCACCGTTTGCAGAATGGGACTTTTGGCGGGCTCAGCAGGGCAGAGACAGCCTGGACAATTCCTATTGGCTTTGGAAAGCCAATAGAATTGGACTCTATTCAAGAGAGTCTATTCTATTGGCTTTCAAAAGCCAATAGAAGAAAAGGGAGTAGCACAGCTAAGGAAAAGGGGGGAAAAAATGGCGGACTGCATTGTTTGGTGACCCCCGTGAAATGATCGTTCAAATGGGGTCCCGACCCACAGGTTGAGAACCACTGATCTAGGAAATGTTTTTTTGTGCCATCTTATGCCTAGTACCAAGACCTGATCTCTTTGTTCTGGAAAGGTATAAAAGGTGGAAGACATCTTTTCTGGTTGTTGCCTTCATCTCTCTACCAGCCACGAAGAGAGATGGGGTCACCCAACTCTGTTTTGATCAAAATAAAAGTTGTTTGCTTGCTGAAACCTGGGCTCAGGAGTTTCTTTGGCTCTTTTAAATTCCTGAGTAATGCTGGGGCAATTGTGAGGTTAAGTGGAAAACCTTACACTGGTTAGTTTTGTTTTTCTGTTTCACTAAGTTGAGGTCTATGTGCTCACTTGAGCTGGGTTTCGTGTGTATGCGTGTGTACGTATGTGTGGTCTTTCTATGGTTGTGTCTCTCTCTCTCTTTCTCTTTTTTTTTTTCATTCACAGGAACAAGAAAAAGAAGCCAGAAACAGGAACGCTTACATTTCGGCTTTACCGAAATCTTCCGTTTGGTGGAAAGACCTTGATAGAGATAACCACGATGATGAGGATGATGAAGGTGCCACAGGGGGGTGCAGCCATGACCCCCGTGGTGGAGGATCGGGGTCTTTCCATGGACTGGTCTTCTAGCCCTTGTGCCCAAAGCAAATGGTTAATCCTGCAATCATCAAGTACGGATTCCTTTCCCTTGACCTTGTGGCCTTGGAAGTCTAACCAGGATTAGTTGTCTACTCTTCCCCAAAACTATGGAAAATGATGTTTTCTGGAACAACTGTAATCAGGGCACCCTCCACCTGTCATAAAATTGCACTTCCTGGAAGTAGCAGGAAGAAGGTGCCACAGCTTTAACTTTCACGGCCGACCAACGTCCCCCTCTCGGTGAAGAGGGGGGGCAACGTTCGTTGTGACCTCCTTAGTGGAGGTCAATTGGGCAATTAATTTTCTCTAGGGCCACATGACAGACTGGGATTTGTGGAGGGCTGAACAAATAGGGCTGTGAAGGTGTGTAGGCACGTGTGCACGCGCCTACACAAAGGCTATTCTCCAAAGCACCTGCAGGCAGGACAAGACGCAAAGGAAGGAAAGTCATCAAGGAGAGACGCAACCTGGAATTTCCTGACAGCGAGAACAATTAACCAGTGGAACAGCCTGCCTCCAGAAGCTGTGAATGCTCCAACGCTGGAAGCCTTTAAGAAGAGATTGGACAACCATTTGTCTGAAACGATATAGGGTTTACTGCTTGAACAGCAAGCGGTATATAAGTCTCATAAATAAATAAATAAATAAATAAATAAACAGGGGGTTGGACTAGAAGACCTCCAAGGTCCCTTCCAACTCTGTTGTTCTGCTAAGTTTACCCATCTTAAAGTTGCTGAAGTTGTCAAACACACTGCACCAAGCCATCATTTGTGGTTTGCAAGACATACGTAGATTCCATATTGATTTAAGTTAAGACCAGACAAACTCAGTTCTTCACGAAAGGGAGGGTAGGCAAAGAAACTGTGGTATGTTCTATATGCAGTGGCCTCCACAGGTGTGTATAGGTTCACACATCATCCTAAACCAGGATATTTTAAAAGCATGGTTAGTGAGGACAATTAACCAGTGGAACCGCTTGGCTTCAGACGTTTAGGGTGCTCCAGCGCGGGAGGTTTCTAACAAGAGACTGGACAACCATTTGTCTGAAATGCTATAGGCTTTCCTGCTTGAGCAGAGGGATTGGATAGAGGACTTCCAAGATCCCAACCAGCTCTGTTATTAGATTCTGTTAAACTGAAAAAAAAAAATAAAAATAGCTGCCTTCAAAATAAAAACAATCCACGCAGGGTCGTAAAATGCTCAGGTCTGCTTTAATGGGTAAGTTTTTTTTTTTGTCTATGCAGGGAGTGTGACTGTGGACACAAATTTTAATCCACAGTGCAAGGAAATCTCTACCTTTCCAAAGCAAAATTGGAGGAAGGAGTTTTCGTAACTGGCCGTGTAATGATTACTCAGCAGAATGGGTTGCCTTCTGAAGTTGTGAGTGGAAACTAATCAAGGAGAGAAGCAACCTAGAACGAAGGAGAAATTTCCTGACAGTGAGAACAATGAATCCGTGGTACAGCTTGCCTCCAGACGTTGTGGATGCGCCATCACTGGAAGTTTTTAAGAAGAGATTGGACAGCTGTTTCTCTGAAATGGTATAAGGTCTCCTGCTTGAGCAGGGGGTTGGACTAGATGACCTCCAAGGTTCCTTCCAACTCAGTTATTTTCTTTTATCTTATAGTAAACAAAATCAAACAAAACTGTCTTTCTTTCTTTCTTTCTTTTTTCAAACATTTCTGTAGTTGAATTTTCATTTCATTATCTATCTATCTATCATCTATCTATCTATCTATCATATATCTTCTGTGTATCTATTATCTATCTTGTATCTATTATCTATATTTATGTATCTATCATCTATCTATCTTCTATCATCTTCTATCTATCTATTATCTATCTATCATCTTTTATTTAGAATATTTATATGGCTGTGTAACTCACTCACGGTGACTCCAAGTGGCTTACAGAAATAAAACCCCAAATATGAACACCAGAATACACATTTCTATAGCTGAATTTTCATCTTTCTTTTCTTTTCCTCTTTTTTTCTTTCTTCTTTCAAACATTTCTGTAGCTGAATTTTTATTTCATTATCTGTCATCTATTTGTCTATCATCTATTTATCTATATCATCTTTTATTTAAAATATTTATATGGCTGTGTAACTCAAGGTGACTTCAGGTGGCTTACAGAAATAAAACCCCAAATATAAAACACCGTAACACACACGCACACACCGATGACAACAATCAGACCGACCACTTGATGGGCTCTGAATCACTCGGGGGGTCTCCACGGGTCCTTTGGCAAAACCAGATCCTCAGGGTCTTTTGAAAAAGTGTCAAAGTGGAAGCCAATCTTATGTCTGCAGGGAAGATGTTCCACACGGAGGGAGCCACCACGGAGAAGACCCTTCTTGGTCCCACCAGATGGATCTCCTTAAGAGAGGGGAAAACATCCTCTGCCTCCCTGCTCTGGTGGGTCAGGTAGATATAACTGGGAAATGATGGTCCTTCAAATCACCTGGGCCCAGGCCATGTAGAGCTTTGAAGGCGGCAACCTTATATATTTTAAACCAGCTTTGCAAGTGGGCAAAACTATTATCGTTGCAATAGAATTCTTGGTGTTCAACTGGGGGGGGGGGATAATATATTTTTTGTCCTTTAAAAAAAAAATCATTCCCCCCCCCCAGTTTTTGTTAATTTTGTTCTTTCTGTGTTCAATTTTTTTTCTTTTGGATTGTAATCTTTGGAATAAAATAAAATAAAAATGATAAAAAATAAAAATAAAGGTGACAACCAGCAAGTTGAATTGGACCCGGAAGCAAATCAGCAACCAATAAGGTGACACATAGGCAAATCTAGACACGTGCAAAACATTTTGAAGAAACTGAAGCAATTATTTGAGTATTTATGATTTATATTTATTTTATTTATTTACTGCGAGAGGGATCTCGGAGTCCTAGTGGACAATCACTTAAATGTGAGCCAGCCGTGTGCTGCAGCTGCCAAAAAAGCCAACACAGTCCTAGGCTGCATTAACAGAGGGATAGAATCAAGATCACGTGAAGTGTTAATACCACTTTATAATACCTTGGTAAGGCCACACTTGGAATATTGCATCCAGTTTTGGTCACTGTGATGTAAAAAAGATGTTGAGACTCTGGAAAGAGTACAGAGAAGAGCAACAAAGATGATTAGGGGACTGGAGGCTAAAGCATATAAGGAATGGTTGCTGGAATTGGGTATGTCTAGTTTAATGAAGAGAAGGACGAGGGGGGACATGATAGCTGTGTTCCAGTATCTCAGGGGCTGTCCCAAAGAAGAGGGAGTCAAGCTATTCTCCAAAGCATCAGAGGGCAAGGCAAGAAGCAACAGATGGAAACTCATCAAGGAGAGAAGCAACCTAGAATTAAGGAGAAACTTCCTCACAGTGAGAACAATTAATCAGTGGAACAACCTGCCTCCAGAAATTGTGGATGCTCCATCCCTGGAGGTTTTTAAGAGGAGACTGGACAGCCATTTGTCTGAAATGGTATAGGGCAGTGATGGTGAACCTTTTAGAGATGGAGTGCCCAAACTGCAACCCAAAACCCACTTTTGCATCGTCGAATGCCGGGTGGGTGTGGCCCATTGTGTGGGCGTGGCCCATTGTGTGGGTGTGGCTGCGGTGGTAACGGCAGACTGGGTGGAACTAAAAAGTTCAATCAATCAGTTCCAACTTTGCAAGATCTTTTTTTTCCTGCGAGAAGTTGAAATTGACTGATTGAATCTTTGTTGTTGTTTTTTTTGCACACAGCGGCGCAGGCCTAAAGCGAAAAGGTTTTATAAAACCCAGCTGAAGGCGTAGGACTGGGGCGACGGCACGCGTGCCCACCGAGAGGACTCTGAGTGCCGCCTCTGGCACCCGTGCCATAGGTTCACTACCACTGGTGTAGGGTCTGCTGGGGGTCCCTTCCAAATCTGTTATCCTGTTGTTAAATGTATTGGCTGCCCGTCTTACCAAAAGATAACGCATTACTTTCAAGTACTTTCAAGTTTGCCACCAAGTTGCAAAACAATTCAGACCGTCCGGAAATGGCGTCGAGAAAAACTGTCAACAGGGGTTTGACGTTTCAGAGCCCAGATTTGATTATCTTAATTTAAGGACTCCAAAGTGCTTTTTTTTCAGGAGGCCAATTGGACTTCCTTGTTTTTCTCTGAAGACGTTTCGTTTCTCGTCTAAGAAGCTTCTTCCGTTCTGACCGGACGGTGGGGAATGGCAGGATTTAAACTCCTTGCAGAAAAACTGGTCATTTGCATCCTTTTAGCGAGTCGTTGAGGCCACCTGGATGTTTACGTTGTGGCCTGAGGGTCACCTGAGTGGTGCAAATGAGTGTGGAGCCTTCTGGGCTGCAGGATGGTGTGTTGTGGAGCTGCAGAAACATCCTGCAGAAAGCACAGCTCCAAAACAGAGTCCTTTCAGCAATTCCAAGAAGGTTCCATACCCATTTGCACCACTCAGGTGACCCTGAGGACACAGGTAAACCTCCAAGTGGCCTCAACAACTCTCTAAAAAGAAGGCAAATGACCAGCCGTCTGCGAGGAGTATAAATCCCTCCATTCCCTACCATTCAGTCAGAACCTGAAGAAGCTTCTTGGGATGAGAAGCGAAACGTCTTCAAAGAAAAACAAGAAAGTCCCGTTGCCCCCAGAAAAAGCACCTAACCGGTTGACTTCCTTCCTCCCTCTAAAATTATAAGCCCAAGCAGAAAATATTCCGCCATCTGCTCTTACAGCGGTGCTCATAATATCTCCGTGCTAATATGGAAAGTTATCTACTGCATAATTGCGTTATCAAGAATGATAGCCGAAACATTCCGGGTGATTAATTGTGGCGATTAATCATGCAGAAATAAGTGCATTCCTTTTTTTGTTTAGCCGTCTATCACATTTATTAACAGCAACTGGTTTGTTTAAAGTGTTAACTAAGTTTAAGCGCAACTTCGGTTTTTGCAGGACAGCTGTTGTCTTCTTTCAACTGCAGCTCGCAGGGAATAAATTAATAATTTAAGGAAATGGAATCCACAGTGGCTAAAAAAGGGAGGAATATTCAGCTCAAACACTCATACCACAAGACAAAAACATACTGTACATCTATTTATATATATATATGTGTGTGTGTGTGTGTATGTATATAGTTTTGAAAAAAAGGATTTTTTTTGTAAAGAAATAAACATCGCCCACTTCCCATCCTCCCCGGAAGAAAAGCAGAAAAACCCACCCACCTTCCTGCCAATCATTCAATTTAGGACATTTACAGCAAGGTAATAAACATCAGTATTTCTTTGACAAAAACACAAAAGACTCCTAGTCAAAAATCTTTCTTAATACCTAAATGGTTACACAAATCTGGTCAAGGTTACAATTCTCCATTACGTGAACTCCAGGTGTCTCATTGCTGTCTTTAGAAAAAAAAACAACAACATATTTTGTCGATCTGTGAAGCTGCCAAATACAGGTAATCCTCGACTTACGCCGACTTTTGGGCTGAATTGTGCTCGTAAGTAAAGGATTACCTGTATTTTATATAGTTGTACCCTTCGATCAGCATTTCAGCAGAAGGTGGTGTTCATTTTAGATGGGGTCAGAAGCTAAGCCAAATCAGACCTGGATGGGGCACTACTAGGAAATGAACGTGTCCGTGAGATTG